TGAGTCAGTAGCTCAGTTGGTAGGTCACGGACTTCGGGCCCAAGGCAGCGATGTTGTGGTGTCGGATCCTGGTCACCGCCGTAAAAGTTTTATCAGTACAGTTCACCTTCGTACTGTACCCGCTCACCCCTCGCTTAGCTGAGAAGTTCCACACACAGGCAGTCTATGTGAACGTGCAACTGCAGGATTTAAAATAGGCCACCAACCCCTTAAAAACATTGATAAAACATTTTAACTAGGCTTTTATTTCACAAAATTGTTTGAAACAAGCATATCGAAGGGGCCCTAATCATCTAAGCAATTAACCAAACTCAATAGTACGTATACCAATAACTGTTACTTTGATGTGGTTGCAACCGTTACTTTGGTGTGGTTTGGTTGTAACCAATACACTAAATCAGATATATTGGTTAATCATGGTTTAACCTGGTTTAGTTGGACTAATATTTGCTTACTTGATACGATGGGCAATCCCTACCTGCTCTAACCCCACCAAAAACGAAAACACCTTGAAATCGTTTCGGATAGAAACCGGAAGTGGAATATGTTTCGCATTTGTTTTACATATCATACTTTTTCTCTATTCAACAATTCTAAACATAAACTTTTTACGAATCTGCAAAATGTTTTCATGTTTTAAAAGAACATATTACGAATGAATTTGGATGTTTTATATCATTATTTTAACTCATATTTAAAATATAATCCGATATTTATCATCTAATTTGTATTTATTCATACCAACGGCCAAACAGCCAATACATAAATATACGACTAAACGTAATGTAAGTTTAAGAAAAGGAATAGTTTTAAAGCGTTTAGCAACCATCTTAAATTAAATACTTGATAAATAGAAGACTAAATACAACACAACAATATAAAATATAACAATAGTTATATATATAATTTAATAGACAAGTATGTTTCTTTAAAACCTTTTTTCGCAGCTCGCGTGCATCGCAGGGAAAATCTATGCATACTCTTAGAAAGATATTTTCCTAAAGATGTGCAGAATACCTTTATAAATTAAAATAGGCTGAAAAATTAGCCCATCAAATTAATTCAAATTGAAAAAAAATCACATGGGCGTAATGGGTTGCTATGTTGTTGACGAAATATATACAGAAGACAAATAGAGGAAATGCCAATTACATGTTTTATTTACAGCTTTGGGGTGAAAATAGAAAAGTCTGTACATTACATATTTTTGGTCGAGTTTTCGACCACTGGACGACCTCTAGTTCTATGTTAATTAGTATCACCTCGGTCTTTTGAAACAAATTATGTAACTGTCCCGAAAATAACCTTATTTAACACTAGCAGAGTACCCGTCCTTCGTACGGGATTGGCATATAAGTATAAAATGCTTAGTACAGTTACTCAACCTTTGCGTTTGCAATGGGGGAGGACACAGTATGATAAAATTTGCTTCTTTAAATTTAGGGTATGCTATAGTGTATTACATATCTACCATAGCCATAACTTTATACCACTGCACCTAAACAATAGAAAAAAATAAATTGTTAAAGATTCATAAAACATCACAAATCATGTGTGAAATTAAAAACATGAACAAAACTGTAACCAGGCGGTTCTCATTGCGTATCACAGTTTTTGTTGCTGCTTAATTCAAATTAGCTGTTTTCCTAAATTAAAAAAATAATAATGCTGCACCCTGTTGGTGAATCTTATAACTTTTAATGCTTTTGCATACCATAGAACCAACCTTTTTAGCTGACTAAATTCTTTAATTCCATTTAAATATGAGTACTCATGTTAACATGGGAAACACCGGAGCCACTGGGGCGGAGCCCGAAACGATTTTTGAGATAAGAATATGCTTATATGTTAATCGGAAATGTGAGCTATCATCGTGCCAAATTTCAGCCCAATTCGTCCAGTAGTTAAAGCGTGATTGAACTTCAAACAAACAAACACACAAACTTTTACATTTATAATATTAGTAAGATTAATCAAATGAATCTGTATACATAATTGGAATTTATTATTAATAAAATTTCTTTAATGCCTTTCTAAAAATAAGAAATATTAATGGAATTTGTATCCGGCTAAGTTTTCAAAGCGCAATTACCTAAATAAAGTCATTATTAAGTAAATTATGACCACTAAGCAAGACAATTTCATTTTAAAATACATTTAATAAATAAATTGTAAGATAACTAAACATTGACATGACCAATATATTTAAAAGGTTTACTCCAACTTTATCAAAAACCCCTTGAGCACTTACTGTGAATTTAAAAAAATATATGAGTCGTAAAATGTGTAACAATTTTATACTATATATTTTAACTCAAGTTGTTCAAACCTATTTCTAATTTATATCAACAACTGATTGCTTTAAATACTTAAATATAAACCGTTTTAAATAATCGCGATAATAAATTGTGTTCAAATTTAACGTAAAGCTAATGTTTTAATTTCATTCTCATATGGAAACAATACCGATTATGGCGGTGGTAAACATGGTATGAATACTGTAAATTGAATAAACATATCGCTTTAAATATTTTAACTCCCTAAGTGCATTTAAAGTTGTTTGATAACATAACTGTATATTTTATATCAGCCGTAACTTAGTATTTATATATTCCTTTCATTAGGTTGATGAATAAAGTATTCAACAAAAGCCCTTTGGTCTCAGTATTTAAAGATTTACTATTCCAGATAATTATTGGTAGGCCTATTTAAGTAATAATCATTTTACAGAATTTCTACAACAAATAACGAGATGTATATGTCAATACAATAGTAATTTATTATATTAAATAATCTCTTATAAAATACTTTTTTTTTGTATTTCAACAGAAAATTCATTGCTTTTTTAAGCTATTAGCAAATTAAAATTCATCATTATTCACATAATCGTTAACCGTTGTAAATTGTTGTTACCATTAGGGCCTATCTCAACTATCCATGCAAAAGGTAGTTTTTGTCAAATATAGCTACAATGTTATCAATTAAAGTATACTATGTCCATAGGGTTTTATTCCACGCTATTGCACACTGCATAAATTTAGATACTAATTTGTTTGGGATCTGTACTTTACTTTTACTTTTAAAACTAACTTCAAATGAAGAGGACTTTATATTTCAACCGACTCGTTAAAATCATGTTGGGGATGCCTTTGAATAGCAATTCATATAGCGGTAATATTTAACCTCTAAATGGTAAACGAGGGTACCCATGCGCAAATTGAGCAATTTAATAGAGTTAGAAAATTGCTTCCAATGAAAAATGAATAGTGTAATGCACCTTTCAAATATTATGCTTAAGACGGTTATTAGGAGGATCTAATAATGGCATAGGTTAAATTTGTTGATTGTATAAAGAGTAATTTATCTGAGGTTACAATTATCACTGAAAGTAGCCATTACTATTCAAAATCCGTTTTCTTAACTGTTTTCTTAACTATCTGACTGAGGTTAATCCTTCAACCATCGATCTGTAATAGAGATTGATGCCTTCATCTGAAGGATCAGCTGTTATTAATTACACCATTCAAAAGTGCTATAAAGAAAGTTTGTCATCATCACTGGATATATTCAAGTGAACTCTAGAAAAAAATTGAAACGCTTGGGAGGGCATAGTCCTAAATTGAATGATTTTCTGTTACGATTCGTCCCTCAAAATCATAAGCTTTAAAATGGCTCATAAATCGTAAAAATTGGTTAAAAACGGGTAGAAATATTAGAACTGTAGAAAACCACTGTTTTAAGTAGCCTATAAAGTGTTAACGATTCTTAAATTTACACACTCAGAATAATATCTACTTACTATCTTTCCGCTAAAGGATGAAAATATCTTTTCAAACCCAAACACTTCTTAGTAGTAGTCAAATAGCAAAGTATTCTGGACAAAACATTAAAAGAAAGACAGAGGAAAACTTTTCAAATTCAAGCTCAAGATTGGGCTGTTGAGTAAAGATCAGTGAACAGGAAAATTGGAGTGAAAATCTGCAATTGCTTCAACCTCTATATGCGACCCCTGGCTATGTCAGACACTGTAAACTCTTACTGTAAGTCTTGGGAAAAGGGCTGAATTGATAGATAAGAGTGTCAACGGACATTTGTTGAATAAGGTAACTTTTTCCATGGATAAATTACCTTAGCTGTTCTTGAACACCTTCATTTTAGTGTTAGCGTTTTAATGGGGCCATTTTAAAGATTTTTTTGGTAGAGAAAGGTCTTGCTTGTTGTCGTGTTTCCACGCAATACCACTCCAAAAGTTCATTTTAAATTGGTAGTATGTTAAACCATTAGTTAGTTGGGAGCTCTATGAAGTTTCTGTTTAATATTTTTACGTTTACGCTCAAACTTGAAAAACTACTTTTGGCCTACCAAGCCCCAATTTCAGTTCATGGTTCGAAATGGCTTTACAAAATATAACTATTAATGACTGTTCTCTATATTTTTACTGTACCGATAAGGAATTGCAGTGAACAATTACAGTGAACTTTGACGACAGTTGGTTTTGTGACGTCACCTACGTGTCCGTTCCCCGGATGTTTGCCGTCGACTTCCTGTTTGCTTTTCTTAATTTCCCTTTTCCATTGCAGAAACTTTATGAAATAGAATTTGCCTTCTTTAATATGTTCTGATCAAAGAAATATGTCATATACATTTGTTTGTAAGAGGATAGGTGTTTTTGGTACTACCGAAGAATAAAACATAACTGGAATACATAGAAAACTACTTATACTGTATGAACGTCAAAATGAAAAATATCACAGCATGTTTTAATTTACAAAATAAAAAACAGATAAAACTAAATCTGCTATAAATTATACATATATTTGAATTTAAGTATTTCAAAATTATTTGTACAGGTTGAGTGTAAGTACGTGGCCCTAACTTTTGCCTGTTTGAATAAATAGTTTTTCATTTTTATTTTCATAAATGTTATACTGTATATTTCATCAATATTCCCGTTCCCTAGACATGATGTAATTACTTGAATGTTTTTTTTTTTGTTTCAGAGAGCTCAGAACCGAGCCTGAACAAGTGAACGCCAGCTCAGAGAAAACAGATCGAGTTTTGGCTCCCAGGTTCCAAATTTTGAATTTAGTCCCAGATTCTCCCCAGGTGGTTCAGGAGGATTTCGAAATGCGTAAGTGTCATTCAGGATAGTAGTTACGCAACGATCTCGTAAATATAGTGTTTAAATTATATAGTGATAATTTGAAAGAGAGTAGAAGGAGTGGAAATTTGGAGCCTTGGCGAAACTTTAAACTACGAGTATGTTAAAGGCTATTTACGCGAGCCGCGTACTCTACTTTACCAACGACCGTTTTTAAACAATCACTACTCATAATGTCTGGAGAGGTTATGTTTTCGTTTATGACCTCTCATCGCCACTGACAGAGACGGATCATTGTACCAAACACTAATTGCACCACTCAACAATTAAACTGGCCTAAACAGCTGATAAGCTGAAGTTCGAAGCATTACAATTTTACTTCTTTTCTCTTAATCCTTTAACCGCATTGGCCCGTTACTCGTGTTAAGTAAAATAAGAAAACGATGATGTTAAGTGAACTTTTTCAATTCTAAAAACTGAACTAAAAGGCTAGTTAAAAAAAACGGTCGTTGGTAAAATACTTAACAAAACCATTTGAGTGGGCTGGTACAACTTAATAATAATTAAATGTTTTAGATATCTTAGCTTGCAAGCCAGAGGCAAGTTTATTCTGAACAACATTTAATGGAACGTAAACAACATGGATCCTTGTCTTGCTTGGACTGTCGGAACTTTATCTCTGTGCTACAAAACTATGTTTGTTTCTTGCCCCCACTTCTGTTTTAATTACATAGACTTAAGACTGTTAAACGCAAGATTATTAGTATTACACTTTCCTCATTCCTCTTAAGAAGGTTAACTTGCAATTTATAGATCAAATATTTGTGTTGTATCGTAGCGTCTTTAATATCTTTGTACAACTGGTTGGATATGTTATTTGTTTACAATAACAATATTTATTGTTATTTGTTATGAGTTCAAACTACTGGAATTTTTGGGGTTTCAGTCAAGATATGTTCCTTAACCGTGCAAAGAAAATAAAAGAAACGTCTTATAACACTTAAAACATATATTTACGCTTCTGCTGTTACTCACAAGACGGTAAATATACACAATAGATAGTAAGTGGTGACCGATTTCGATTGGACACTCCAATCATTATCAGACCCAATAGGCGAATGACATAAGCGTAAATACATGTTTTAATTGTTATAAGACGTTTCTTTTATTTACTTTCCGTAAATTTAATAACACGTTCAATGCTGATCAAGAAGTTATTTAGTGCAAATATGTTAACTAAAGTACGTTTGAACATTTCCTATGCTAATTTTGCATTTGGGTTTAAATTAAACGTACTTTATTCTTCATTTCATTAGATTTGTCTATACCAGAATATTTATTTTACATCTCTCGCCATCTGATTATCTTGACCCATAAATAAGACAATCACGATTGTTTTTTCCAAAACTAGCCTTACAATACTAGAAGAATAGTAAACGAATGTCCACTTTATATTATATTTTTTACTAAAGAATGTACCAAAACCACGTTTGACAAAAACGCGTTACCTCCTGGGATTTAAATTACCATTTTACCACAAACATAATTGATAATACAACCAACTGGTCCTTTGCTGGAACCAAATTGGTAGGATACATGGCAAACAAAAAATACCCCCGCCGCAGCAAACCTGCAGACTAAGAGAATTTGCATTAGCCTGATTGGATTTACACTAAAATGTCTACTTAAAAATATAACATTTATTTCCTATTTAAATAGAATTAGTTTAACAAGTACTTAGGTTTGCTGCATCAGGGCGGGTAAAACTGTGTTTTTTTGTTTTTTTTTTGTAAAATGTTAATAGTTGGTAAGAAATAAAAACATTTTCCAAATTTGATCATAATATGTTCATAAACAAGCAAACTACAACAGTTTACTTGTTCTCCATAAGAGTAACATGGGAATTTTAAATTTAGAATTTTTTTGAATTTTCTCCGTAACCATAAGGCGCATAATTAAGGGTCAAAAATGGGAAAACCAATTTTTACCCCATAAAACCCCCTATTAACCCCTGTTCCCATAGTCCGATCATGCTGGTTCGCGAACTCGTTCGAATAAACGTAGGTTTACACGTGTATACCAAATTTCATCAAAATCGGATGATTTTTGCTCGAGTTATCGCGCTAACGGACACATATATAAATGTATATATATGAATTTGAACGGATGGTGTTTTTGGTCTCTAGGGACCTCAAAACGAAAAAAAATCTGTCCCGGGTCCAGGTCTTACCATGAGTACTAAATATAGGGGAAATTCGCTAACAAATAACGCCCATAAATTGGCACGTTTAGTTTTAGATAGGTTTTACAATGTAATGTATGGCTGCTGTAAAGCATCCTGATGCAGAGATGCCCTTATGTATAGATATTATAATGCAAAAGTTACTTTGCATGTTAAAGCAGTTTTGTTCCGCCCAATATGGCTAGATATCCTCGAATGCACGATTCATATTAAATAAACAAATAGTCTAGCAGTACGCAATGCTAATTACCTCGTTGGTTTTAAATTACCATGATTTGCTGCTGCTCTATTTCTTATAGTTTCTAATGATTGTTTTATTCTGAAATCATAATAAAAATGAAATATACACCCTTTTCTTTCTGTAAACAAACGTATGCAATTTAATTGTTCAAACATTATTTGCCATCGTCGCCTAATCATTATGCAAATTAACAATACGAAAATTAAATTATTGAGGACTGTATGTGCTCATCGATATGTCGAGTGATTAACAACAATAGGCTAACACCTTACCTAATAAATCAATCGATAAATAAAGTCTATCGATACGATTGCCACAATCGAAATTTACAACTGTTTACAACAGCTGATTTTTACTCCCTAGGGACTAAATATGATAATGTTACTTTAAACCCGCAACGCATGCATTACAAACGGCTACAACATACTTTTTATCTTAAGCTTTGATTTGGTAATAAAATAATTCAACACAATATGGTACACGTAAAATTTTTCATCCTATAGGCAAGATTAGTTTGTATATTCTACAGTAAATTAGCCACATCAGCACAATCTGTCGGTGGCTTAATCAACTACGTCCATTAGTATTGTAAAACGAGCCACAGCTTTAATATGGAATGGAATTTCAAGTTTTATTAATATTTATAGATTTGGCTAACTTTTAAAAAACAATTGTTTCTATTGCAAATAATTCTAAAATGTTTCTGTAGACTTAAAATACACTTAATAGATCAAGACATGTATAACAATTTATTGCAGTTAACCCGCAAATCCTTAACCTTTTTTTAATTCTGACACACACTCTTATTATATCAAACAATAAAATTATATATTATACCAGTTCCAAAAGTACTTTTTACTCATATTCTTCCTCAAAAAAATTATAAAAATTTAAATTCCAACATGTATTGGAAAACATTACGAATGCGGTATTCTAAATGTCTACAGTTGAGCTCACGATTAGGGTCATTTACATATTCGAACAGCTGATTGATACAGTACTGCCAAATATACAATTGAGATCAAATCAGCTGCTTTGAGCTATTCCATGAGGTCTACCATTGCTGCCAATTTACACAAATAAAAATACATAAAGTGATAAGTACTTTTATTTTTAAAACTCCTTAAATAGGAAATCTATTATGTATGTTCTATTTTCAACTCGTATAGGAAAGATTCCTCTAAGACAAAATCGTTCACCATCAAACAATAACCCAAGCTGGTCACGAAACTATTTTGTTTCGTCACAGTAATTTTTCCCGCCATTAAGGAACAACTCATCTACGTAATTGGCAGCTGTAACATTTCCCGCCAGATTTAATTAAACCAATTTCCCGCCTTATTCATTCACCGCCCTTGTGGCGTCTGGAGTATTAATCCATTTCACCGGCAACAAAACTTTGCCCCATTAGTCAATCTGGTCTGTTTATTGAACTAAATTCCCCGTAATAGCTTTAGTCGGAAAGTTCAAAAGGACATTTTTATGATGAATTATCTGTTTTTGGATTTTGATTTATAATTTTAGCATTTGAGTGTCACCATGAAATTGGGTAGTGAAATTAAATGATTTACGATGGGGAGGTTCAATGTTATTATTTTATTGAAGTCTTGTTACGACAATACGGTCTATGGATACACTACCATTAGCCTAACTACTAATCTGTCAAGAATTATATGATTGGAATTTATCGTTGCTTATGTACAGAATCATAATCTTTTTAAATTTTTTCTCACCGTTAATTCAAGGCCATCGCCGTCGGGAAAGGAGTGTTTTCTTATGGGAGAGTAAGTCCTCCAAATCGACAGCCTTTGGCGTAACCTTTTTTAGATCCCCAGCATCCATATACAAATCTCAAAGTATCCATGAAATTTTGAGAAAACTACATGTCACATTCCCATAAACCATATACTTAAAATATTTGTTATGACGAGAAACCTTGCGCCAAACTATCCATGTTTTCATAAATTGCCCTTTAAGGTCGTAATTTCTTTCTAAAGGGAACTTTTCGTATACCTAATGAAAATACCTCAGCTGTACTTAGGTTTAGGTGGATTGGTGTTACTCTTACTACGTCTCGCAAATCCCAGACTTAACTAATGGTCCATAATAGTTCTTAAAAAATCTACAATACTTCTTCCCCTTTGTCCTTCCGGTTTCTGAGCAGTTGGCCATGAGTGTAATGGAGAAATCTGTCTCCACTTTCTTCAGTAGTGTATCCCTTCCTCCAAATACACAGCCATGGACTAACTTAACAAAATATTCAATTTCCCCAGACATAACAACCCCGTATTTTCCAGGGGTAGTGCAGGAGTCTACAACGTGGCGGCCCGTGGGAGACATCGTGGGACAGAACGTTCACCTGGACACCGTCGTCTGGCCAGGGGGGGACCTCGTTCCTGTCTCCACCTCCCGCGGAGTTCGCAGTGTCTTCCGCGTCGTCACCTCCCTGGCACCCCCCTTCGTCATGGAGGGCGAGCTGGACGAGGATGGCCAGTGTCTCCGGGGGTTGGAGTGTCATCGACTCCTCACCTCGGACAAGGACAATCTCACCCTCGTCTTCAACGAGATGGAACGAATGGAGGACGCCGAAGAGGACGAACTTCCGGAGAGAGACGTTTGGGCAATGGGATCGATCTTTCAAAACTCAAGGTAGACTTTAAACTTAAGTAATCAAAATGAGTTGGACCTTTTTCGTTAATTCGCTACCACTAATTAGTATATTAGGTTATGTTAGGACTATGTTTACGGACCTTTACCATTAACATAGTCCTAACCTAAACTAACCTAACCAAACCTAATCTAACCTAACCTAAGCTAACCTAACCAATAAACCAATAATTTTTAAGTGGTAGTGAATTAACGGAAAAGGTACAATTTGTTAATGCGGGTGGATGAGTTATGAAGCTAGTCTGATAAAAGGTTAACTAATGAATGTTTCATTTACCTGGTTACTGTCAAAACGATCTCTAGTAGTATGCATAGATTATAACCGTTTCGTGCTGGTGATGTGGCACACCATTAGGTCAGAAAGAATGCATATGTGCTCCATATTCTTCGTGGAGTTCCTTAGAAGTTTTGTAAATAAATAATGGTTTTGTAAAAACTGGGTTTCAACACATCTCAAGACACGAAAACAGTACAAACCGTAAGTAAAACTAAACTAGCTTTAATTTGACCTTAAACATGATTAGAATAATGAATTGCATGATATACTTTACATGTTTTTGGGAGGGTAGGCCTATTGTATGCTTTGGGTCCAAAGTATGAGTATCCTTTTTTTAGGCAATTCCATCATAAAAGTTATAACAAGTTGATTGATGCTTTAGAGACTCGTTATTCTTTACTGGATTTTAGCTAAACTATGGTTGGCCTTTTAGAAAATGTCTCAATTCTGTAAAATTCATAGTACACTGTTTTAGGGTACTTAAGTACAGTAGTTACTTTTAAATTTCTCAATAAAAATACAATAGGCCTACTTTGGTTTTACACTGGAGTTGAGTAAGATATCAATTATTATTGAGCTTTTAAACAATTTTTCCATGTTATAAAATTCCAAGTTAACAATCTTTCGTTTATTATATGCTGTAGAGTTAAGTATTGCATTGCTCACTGAAAAACAGAAAATAAACTGAATTACGAGAAAAAAGCTCGGTTTAAATGTATGAAAACTAGTTGGAAACCATTATATAAATGTTTTAAACATTTCATAAAATGTCGATAAAATATTGTTTCTAAAATATTGATAACATTTTATCCAGTGGTTTCAGGACGGATATTTTCCTGCTAAATCTTTCTCTAGTATAAAACCCATTCAAGTAAAATAAACATATGCAAAATTCTTTACAATTTCCTCCATATACACAATTCCTTCTTTCTTTTGTTTCTTTCTTTTTTCAAGTGCAGTGGGAACTGGAATTTTTTGTACAGTTTTCACTATTTTCACCCCATCCATCACGGGAGAGACGACATTTGCAGTAAGAAATATGGGGCAATTCTTCCATAGTAGAGATGTAAAGACAGACAGCAGATGGATATAACATCATTCACCACTGTCTGTGAAAAGGACAAGATGTATGCGGTGTTTACAAAAATGAAACTTAAAGGAAAACTTAATTTTTTTGTTTAAGTAACAGACTAAACTACATTTGTTTACGATTAAAATTTATTGAATGAATGTAAAAAAATATTTACGAAATTTTATTGGTTCAACGAGGTTTCTAAATTTTCTCAATGATACAAAGTTTTCAGTCGATAGTCCTCTTTTAATTTCACTTAAAAACGTTTGATTGTGAACGACAAAGTCTTTAGAACACAATTGCTCATGTTATTTAGTTCTTAGTGCGCTTATTTGTTTTAAATACTAACTACTACCGTAGCTATTTCAATTCAGTTCTTAGAATTGAAAGTGTCACATAACAGCATTGTTTACTTTCATAACAGCATAGTTTTATTTAACAACACGGGTAACGTACCAATGAGGTTCAAGGATTGAGAGAGAAGAAGTAAAATTGTAATAATTCGAACTTCAACTAATCAGCTGTTCAAACCAATTTAATTGTTGAGTGGTGCAATTAGTGTTTGGTACAATATTCATTGACTTTTTTCATAATAAATTCCCAAAAACACCAAAACTCATAGATAACTCTGCAACAATGCATATCAGCCGATTGGCAATGCAAAGAATACTGGGGTATGAAAATGTGAGCTTGTTTTGTCTTAAAAACAGTACAGAACAACCAAGGCAGAAATTTGTGGTAGTAATTTGAGTTTATAAAAAACACCCTGTATAAAACTTTTATTTTGTAAGTAAAACTTGTAGCTTGGAAATAGTTTTACTTCAGATTTACTCAACTTTGTTTTTATCTTTCTATCGTACGGATAAAGAAACTCTTACTAACTGTTCTATTAGTTAAACATTTTTATCAAAATTTTATTTGATGGCATCAACATCGTTTTCAAGGTGAAAATCTTTGGTGTCGAAAACCAAAGAGAAATGCCTCTGAAGATTGCACGTCTGACAAATGTGACTGCTTCGTCACCGAAAATCTCGCCTCCTTGGGTGGAATTCCAAATGCAAAATAATACTTGTTTTAACCACACTTAGTGGCCATATCTTACACAAGATTGTCTACTATCTTTCATGCCGAAAACAACTTGGTTGTATTTTATGATTCAGAATATGCTTAGTGTTAGATAGAAGTAACTATTTTAAACAGCTTAATAGGTTTCATTGTGTATAGGTTGAAATTTAAGTGTTAAAGTCGAGCTATGTCGTAACGAAGAAAGTTTACTATTATAGAACATATGAAACAAAAGTCTACCATAACTCTAAAGTAACTTCAATTGCAGACTACACAAACCTAGTTTTCAAACAATTTAACATAGTTGCACATACTTAGGTCTTGAAATTCCTCTATGATATTTTTACTTGTGAGGAAATATTTGGTGTTTTGCTTGTACACGGCTATCTAAATTCATGATCCGAAATAAGTTGTAAAATAAACCTGTCCTTTATTTATAGTGCGTCTTTGTCTTGTTGGAGTTTTTCTTAAGCTTTCATACATGTTTATTGTGTTTATAAATATATTTTTTACATAAAAACACGCGGTTCTGTGTGATTGAAATCTTACGTGATTAGTATCAACATATAGTATTTGATTAGTAGTAGTGATTAGTATTTGATTAGTTAAGAGTTTAAATTCAGGCTAGATTCTACCTGTAAATACAATACATGTGAAAATGCACTCATCCTTTCCTATGTTTAAATTGTTAAAAATTTTAAATTATCTACTCTAAGAAGAAGAAGAAAGATTTCTCCTTTTTAAATAACGTTTATTCCTCTACGCTCTAGACCTGAGTTATTTTCCACATTACTTCAGGCTACGTCTAGAGGATCGTGGTATTATCACATAGATATAAAATGGTGATTGGTTGGATTTGAACCCAGGACCTTGAGGCCCAATATCCCACACTCTACTAAACCATCTTATTCCACAAAAAATCTTTCTTTTAAAAGCCAAACAATCATAACACTTAGTACACTTATAACTGTTACAAAAAAACTGAAAATTGTTTTCTAAGGTCAATTCCCATATTGTTTGCGCATCCTTACTGTTGCATAGCTTGCAGCATAAGTAGGTCATAAGCATAATGCCCTTGAACACTGGGTCAGTTCTAAAGCTCCATAAGTTTATAGCATCATAAACTGTTTATAGCTCTTCTGGCTTACGAAGTCGACTGTTCGTTCATACGGGTCAAATGTGTATGTAGATTACTTGCTATTTTTTATCTCTATTTAGTTCAGTGAGATGAGAATTATGTATATTGTAACAGCAGTTTTACGTAAACTTGCTTCACTGAACTACCGTCAGCTGACTCGCCAACTGTGACTGCATTGTCTTGTAGTCGTACATAACTTCCAAGATGACTGCAACATCATCCAACATCTTGATAATACAGCATTTCACTCGGTGCGTAATGACTCCTGAAGAGGAGTCAATACTCAATTTCAACAATTCCATCGTAAATATTTTATTTAATATTACATCATTTATCAGTAATCCAATTAATCTATTGAGTTAGATGACCTTAGTAAATAATTCCCTTTGCTAAACCACCTTAAACCCGATGTAGGTAGGCACACCTACTGGAAACTTAAGAGGAAACTGATCCTAGATATATTATATGACTTGATTAGACTCTGTATTTAGTGTTTTTTTTTCAAACACAATGACAAAGGACATTATAACACTACTATATAAGCCTAAGGCTTGTCCGTAGCAGTAGCTTGTCCGCACCACCATCATCTGATTGGGAAGCTTGGCTTCATAATTCATAATGAAGAAGCACTATCATAGACTTCAATATTTAAGGGATTGTTAAATGTTAACGTACTTAAATATTCAGCCCAAATCTGTAAACCTGAATTTGCTTCAAATTGATCTTAGTTTAGGGTGCAGCTAAATCAAACTTGTTCAATATTTTGAATAGTGTTGTAATTTTTTGTTTGATTTAGGGATTTTCATATAGAGAAAAAGGCTATTACCGTAGGTTTCATGATTAGACATAGCACCGGTATATGTTCCTTAGCACGATTGTTCCAGTAAAAATAATCTGATTTCGGTGAAATTTGGACAAACATAAAAACCTACTTTTATTCTAATCAGCATGATCAGACTCTGAGAATAGGATTTTATGGGGTTTAAATTAAACACAACACTTATTTTATAATTTCTTTCCAAACCATTTCGTGGAACCTAAAACACAAATAATGTTGTATATTGAAGCGTTGTTAAACGCCAAATCTGTACGAAGGAAAATTAAAACTTAAAATTTAAAATTCACATGTAAACTGTTGTAGTATGCAAGCATGCCTATTCTTTGGTAAGCTTACCAAGCTATTACATTTTACTAAAAACTACCCATTATCCTTTGGAACAGCAAACCTAAGTACTCGTTAAATGTAATATATTTAAATAGACAATATAGCTTTTGAACAACCATGCAAATGAAAGGCCGTGGCAGCTATTTATTTATTTAGTTAAGGCATACAACTAGTTTCACCAAAAGGAATACATTAAGTAACGAAAACCATTATGCTCGCTAAGCAAGTTCGAATTAAAACTGAATTGTGTGTCATTAAACAAAGG